TGGATATCTGGATTTAGTATCTCAGTGGATAACACGATGGGCGTTTGAAACTAAAGATATTGAACTCTATTCTCAGTGTGAACACTGGTATTGAGGTAAAGGTGCATTGAGCTGACAAGTTCTAAATGGATCGAAACGCAAATCCTGAATTGCATTGCTAGAGGTTAACCAGCTTCACCAAATTATTTTAATTGAAGGAAAATATACATTCTTCTTAAATAACATTTTCCCATTAAAACTCGAAACTGATTTAAACCAGTCATACATGCTTAGAAAACGCTCTCAAGAGAATTTTGTTAGAAGATTGATACTTACCGCCAAAATGTCCCATACTAAAAAAAGTGGCCATTCAGTGCTTCCATTGTATCAACGGTTGTCTAACACAGATCAGTTCGAAATTAAAATTAAATGAAACAATATCCTTAACTTTATACTGAAAATACAGTAATTTTTAATAAAGTACGTACTAAGCTTCATAAATCAAGTCAGAACTGTTTACAAATCGTCAACAGAAATAATTTTTTAGCATAAAACATAATCAGATTTTTTTATAGTTTTCATAGTCATTTGCTTGGAATATGTAATACAAACTCATTATATATAATTTCAGATGTGTCGATCAGTAAAGCGATACATTCGCCGTATTACTTGCTTATATACTTATGCCTGTTAGCACTCGTGCGGCATAGACCGACGACCATGATTCTGTATAAAACTTTGTCCTAGAAAATCCTTGACAGTTGTTTCCAACTGCTATTCATTCTCTTAAAGTCTGCTTCAAATTACCGACACAATGTGTTCCTTGGACGTTTTTCTTGACTATTCGAAATTCCATGTTAGGGCTTGCCTCGTGATGGAGTTTGTTCGTTTTTTCAATGCATGTCCTATCCACTTCCAACATCTTTTCTTAATTTCCTCTTCAGCTGGAAGCCATTTTGTTCTCTCACACAGTACGTTGTTGCTAATGGTATCCGGAAAACGAACATTGATTATATTGAGTAGTCAATTGTTTGTAAATAGTTGTACTTTTTTGATGATGGTTGTGGTGTGATGTATACTACTTATGTTGACAAGTATAAGTAATATGCAGAACCAGTCGGAAGTAGAATACATGAGTGAAGAAGATTGGGAAGATTCAGTTAAAGAGAAGATGAAGGGAAACAAAAAGTAATTGTAATCAAAACGGAATTGGAAGAATCATGAATCAAGTAAAGGACAACTGGTGGAAGATGTGCAAATTATGTAATGTATGTTATGTATGGTTTTCATAATTTCGGAAAGCACTGTGTAATTTAACAGTGAACAACCAATTGTCCTTCCCTACCTCAGTTATCGATCACTTCAGTACAAGTTCTCAAAGTTTCAGCTCTGTACAGTAGAACTATATTTATGTTCGTATTAATGATTCTGACTTTGATGTGGACTGACAATTGTTTAGAGTTTCAGATGTTCTTGGATTGTAGGAATGTTATCCTTGCTTTGCACCTTCACATCCGCATCAGATCTTCTTTGTTTATCGATCATGCTGTCCAAGTACGAAAAACGTTCCACCACTGCCACAACTTCTCCATCAAGTATATTTGAGTCTGTTCTGTGTTGTATTTGAGGATCCTGCTCTTCCTTTGTGAAAGTTGATGCCAATTGCTCCAGAAGCTGATGCTACACCAACTGTCTTTACCTGAATTTGTTGGTGTGTATGGACAAGAAGGGCGAGGTGAACTGCGAAGTCCAAATCGTCCAGTTGCATGCAATATCCAAGAATATAAGCTTTTTTGGTATGGTTAGTTGACCATAACTAAAACCTCCTTGGAGAAGCCGTGACCAGTGGAGCCAATTCATGTCAGCTAGAAACAGGTATCTGCCTCAGTACAATGGAAGATGGCCTCATAATTTCGTGGATTGGTTGAAGTTAGACATTAACACCGTTCGATGCCGGCTCACTGGTCCAGTGTTTAAGCGCTCGTGCGTGAAACAGATAGGTCCTGGGTTCGAATTTCGCGAGGCGGGATCGTGGATGTCAGTCAGTTAGTCAGTAACAATGTAGAACTTAGTACGTACATACATCAGTTCGAGTTGCCACACCACATTAGCACAGAGATGCAGTTGTCCATTCAAATCCTGTAGTGGTAGAGGTAATAAGAGTATAAGCAGTAATCGGAAAGATTAGTGTTTGGAGATGTTACTTAAAGAGTATAATACAGTGAAATAAATTTGGGAAGAAAAAACGAAAGGGACATGAAGAATCCTGAAGATTAGAATTTGGGCGAACACAGAGTGGATGCACCTGAGCCATTGAAAACGATTTTGAGCCATAACATTCAGGGTCTCTAACCATCGGTTGCTATCATCTCGCGGTCCCCAACCAGGTAGTCTATACCTACCGACATGACTCAATCCACTTGTCAGTGACTTCATGGACTTGTGCCATGTTTTGGTCTGGCCACGCCTAGCATTCTGCCAACCTACTCCTATACCACTGAACATCGCACGTCGAGGCAGTCGGTGGTTGGGCATACGTAACACGTGTCCCAGCCATTTCAACTGATGAAGTTTCACTATTTCATCAATTAGTTTGCCATCCTTATCTAGTACCCGTTTCCTAAAAACCGCGTTACTTACTCGATGGTCCCAGGATATACGAGCAATATTTCGAAGACACCTATGATCAAATACTAGTAGTCTACGAATATCCTCTACTCTTATCGGCCATGTTTCACTGCCATAAAGGAGGAACGAACCATAAAGGAACGAACTGCTGCGCAGTAAACCCGTCCTTTGGTTGATTGACGGATATCTCGCCTACGCCATAAATGGCAGGCATTGGCAAAGGCTAGTCGAGCCCTCTGCATCCATGCTGAGATTTCGTCACACACCAGACCATAAGGGCTGATGAGACTTCCAAGATAAGTGAAACGATCGACACGCTCAACTACTTCACTCGCTATCATTTCTTCAGGTGTCGATGCAACGCAATCCTGCAGCAACATTTTGCATTTCGAGGGAGAGAATCGCATCTCGAACATGCTTGCATTGTTGCTTAGAGTGGTCAGAAGACTCTGCATTTTGTCAGCGTCTTCACCAAATAGAACTATGCCATCAGCATATTCTAAGTCAACAAGTGAACCTCCCGGTAGAAGTTCAACCCCTGGAAATTTAGATGAGGAAACTATTATCTATAATGGCACGTCAACGACAAAGTTAAACAAGAATGTATAAGAGTGGAAAGCCCTGACAAACACTACTTGAGATAATCAATTATGATGATAGTTCGCCATAAGCTCTCAGTTGTGTTCGAGTAGAGAGCCTTTACAAGGTTAATGTACTCCTTTCAGTGAAAAACACTGCCATAGAACCTCACGATCAACAGTGTAGCATGCTATCTGAAGGTCGAGAAATACTACCATTGTGGGACGTCTGAGTGTGTGTCTATGTTCTAGGACCTGACGTAGTGTGAATATCTGGTCTATACAACCACGTCCAGGTCGAAAACTAGCCTGAGCTTTTCTAGTCTGTTCTTCATGAGCTTTGGTTAGGCGTCGAGAAGCATTACTGAAGCTAATATTTTAGACACTATATTAGTCAAACTGATTCCTCTGTGATTGTCACAAGAGGACTTTTGTCCTTTCTTATAGACTAGCACAATCAGTGATTGAGACCAGTCAGATGGGATTACGTCCAGTTCCCAAATTCTACCTAAGACCTCAGTTAATCTCACTGCTAATACTGGACCACCATCCTTAAAAATCTCAGGAGTAAACCTGTCAGGGCCTGCTGCTCTCCCTCGCTTCAGATTTCCTATGGCTTTCTCAACTTCGTAAAGAGTCGGAGGACCTAAATTAACTTGCCATTCAGGTTGACTGGAGATCATGGGAAATCAAAGTGTGGCTGAAGGCCAATCGAACTGATTCCTGAAGTGTTCTGCCCATCGATCCAATCTCCTGGATTAAGAGTGTATAATATGTCCATCTTTCTCTGAGAGTGTTTCGCTAACAGTCGGTTTCCTAATACCGGTCTCCTTAACAAGTCTGAACAATTGTCTGCTATTACCTACTGCCGCTGCCTTTTCCATCTCTCTTGCTTTCGCTACCCACCACTGTTCACGATCGTTGCGTAGACTTCTTGTCAGCTTGCGCTTAAGCTGACTCCGCTCTTCACTATGTTCAGAGCCAGGTGGAATGAGTTTCCGAGTATCTATCAGTGCGATAGATGCTGCTGAGATCCAGTGTCGTTCCCTAAGCTTACGGGTTACCGTACTAGCAGATATCACTGCTGTTTCCACAGCTTTACGGATATCATTCCGTGCTGCCTCGGGGTCGGCATCACATCCTCAGCAGCGCTTACCCACGAGGAGTTCCTCAATAGGACGAAACGGCCTTCCAGTGTTTCCAGGTTTTCCATGGTGATCTAGCTTCAGCTGACTCATGATCTTAACCACTGAAATTACTATAATATCCACAAAACCCATCTGATATAAAATATAAATTAGCTAAATCAAGATAAGTGAAACAGGCCAGAACAAATTAACATTCATACATACGTTTAAATAAACTGTGATATTTATTTCTAGCTAAAGCTTTATGCAAGTTTGAAATCATTTCTTTAAATTAAGGAACCGTCATATATCAACACTAAGAATTAGATTATAGATGTTCAAACACACCCACCTTATAGTTTACATTCTTACTTGTCATAATTCAATTATGATTCTACCTATAAAATTTCATTGCTCATAATTATTATTAATAAAGTTTGTTGTTAATTATCTACTAATTAAGTTATCTAAGTATACACAAATTCTCACAATTTGCATACTGTATCGATCTGTTGTTACCTTTTCCATTGGTATCATCATTTTAATTGTTTCACTTTTGTGTCTATCAAATGCATCATGATTTTCTGTTTTATTATTAACATTAAGCACATGTTCTCTGGGGGTGTTGGTAAAGTAATGATCTTTCTCCTATTCCGCTCCTAAATAAATAGAGTATGTATAGTTGTGTGGTTATGATTATTGATCTGGCGTTAATCTGAATTAATTAACACATCTTATCCATAAAATTACGTTTATACGACTCTACTTACTTATTTCATGGGATAGAAATATATATTACTTGTTACATAAAACAGGACTATGATTGGTCAAAGTAATGGATTTTTCATAGCCTAATAAGAATACCTGTACAGTAGTTTGAATCTGTTCATTGGTCAATGTTTGTTGTATACTCAAGATATACTCACCTAACGACCTTACCAATATTTTATTAATTATATTTATTCAATGATACAAGTGAACATCGTGAACAATCATAATGCATGAAGGTAATTTATCTACACGTACAGGAAGTATGTGCTCATCTTCAGGGAATAGTAATAATAATATTATTAAAATACCACGCCGTACATCAGTGACTCCAGTTACACAAAAATCATCATTAGTTCCTCCACTTAGTAGAAAATCATTATGCAATAACACAACAACCATCAGTTCATCTAACGAAGCAACTACGTCTTTTCCATCGGACAAATTACGTCGTATGTCTACGCTATTTAGCATCGATCGAGCAAAAGCACGTGAAGTCATTATGGCTGTACTAGAAGATCCTGCAAGAACTGAATTTAAACGTCTTAAAATAGAAAATGACAGCCTAACTAGTGAATGGAAACAAGTACGTAAAATATTAGGACAATTGCAAGCAGATTATGAAACAAGTCGCTCATTAGATCCTCTAAGACGATTTAAGCATTTACAAGGTATGGTCAAACGTATTGTTATGCATATACGTATTACCGAACCGAGTTCCCTGAAGAAATTTTCTACACATTCAGAGAATTCAAGTGAAATTACATTACAAGGAGATGTTCTGCAAAGTGAAACTAAAGTGAAAGAAATGGAAAAACGTGTTGGACAAATGTGTGATAGTAAGTTTGCCATAACATAATTCACTTACTATGTAAAGCACATATTGTATATTAATGCATCGGCCTACTAAGTGTCGTTAAAATGACCATTTTTTTTCAGATGGTCATTCTAGATACAACTAATTTAACATTGAGCTTTCCTGAATTAGTTTTAGGTAACCAAGTGATTTATCAATTACATAGTCAGAAACAAATTAATCATTAGAGACTGTGGATCACTGAACATTTATTTTGTTCTGTATTTGAAATGATAATAGACTCACTGTGTTTCTTACTAAGCAATTTGCTTGTGAAACACAACCTCGAGATTAGGAATTTATTCACTGGATTTTAGCCGATGTATTGATTTTATATATGATTTTTTTAACCATATTATAACATTTTTAAATATCACACAGGTCATGCAAACTGCAAAATTATAGTGTTTGTTTGGAAAACTCACGTCACGTCAAAGTAAAAACAAAATGAATGATGGCAGTATGCAAAACTATATATTTTAAAGATCCCATTGAAAATAGATCGATGTCCTAGAGAGAGCTGTTGAACAATGTAGTACAACAGTCCCGTGTGGTGCATTTTGCAAACATTAGCTTAAATTTGTGTGGCCTGTTTCCATGTTTATTTGCAAGTTTGATAGTTTCATCAAAACCTATATATAAAATACACATAATTAGACATGACGATTATCAAATATTCAAGCACCATTGTTAGAATTATCAAGTGAAATCCATTAGAAGGTCATTAAAAACATTATACTTTAAGGCTCGATAGATGAGTTACAAAAACACATTTAAGCTACTGAGCACAGCTATGTCGATAAATAACTGTCATTAAAAACTGACTCTTGTATTCAAGTAAATGTTTTACAATCGCTTTCATTACAGTAACTATCCGCATAATTTGCTCTTAGGGTTAATGCATTTTAATCAACAATCTGGTGAGATACTAGGAACAACATATTTTTCCCGTATTTTTTCGTCGCTTTCACATACATAAATAATATTGTTTTGTTCACCTTACTGTATTCCTCAGTTCACCCATATAACATGAAAGAAGGTGTTAGCTACATTACTATATCTGTAACTTATGAATATTGTTAATTTGCTCTACATCACCATCGCTATTTTACTATTTGTGTCTTTTGAATAGTGTCAATTGTTATGTTATAACATCGGCAAATACTCATAGACGACTGTAAGTAACCAATACTCAATAATGGTGAAAAGATTAGGCGCGACCTCAATTTATGGATGAACCGATCGGGTTTAAGATATCAGGTCTTGGATTTTAGCGCGAAATCCATACACACATTTGGCTAAGTACTATTTCGACATCATAGCTGATGTCAGTTCGTGATGAAAACAATAAACCTAGTCCCTAACCCTAATTATCAACTGTAAATCATAATTATAATTCCTCACATTGCTTTATAACCCTCATTTAGTCCTAATTAGTAGGCAGACCTTTTCAAGGTCATTCCAGCGTTCTTTCAAGGCCGTCCATATATTGCAGTCTCATCGAAGATTAATTCTCTGTGTTTTATGGCTGGCCCAATACTAACTAGACCTGAACAAAAAGGAAGGACACAAGATCAATGATGACCAGTTCAAGATCGTCCTTACATTTTAGATAGAAGTAGTTTAAATACAAGGAGACCAACCTGGATCACACCATAAAATAAGAAATAATAATTAGACATAATCAAGTCAGAAATTGTTTGAGAGAAGTGAAGACTGTTAATAATATATTAGGAATAAATTAGGAAAAGTAAAAGATGTAACAGTGGTCAGTGGGCCAACTGAAAGCTTATAATAAAAGGAATATATAAACAACACTAACTACCTCATTTGTTGTGAATAAATCCACTAATTGGAACTGTCTGATATCAAATAAATTGTACTGTTTCTTTAAGCTACTCAACTCAGCAAAAACTTAGCAAAAACTGTCTTTCTTATGTAGTAGTGAGAACCATGATTACGAAATAATTTCACAGATTTTCTATTTCTGAAATGTTCTACTCAAGCAAAATTTCGATGACAATAATCTACTTCTATCTAGTCAAATGTCTAAAACTTTCTGGATTCTAGACTTGTACACTTCCTATAAAATGTTGCTGTAATTTCATTTGTTTCTTTTTATGACTGATTCGGATACGAAACCGTAAAGACAACAGGTTAGTTTTTAACGAATGAATTTCGCTGATAAAGATTAGTAAGACAAATCGGTACACTTTAGTTTATTACTCTATTGTTAACATTCCTGACTAAATTTACCCAAACTCTGATATAAAAGTACTATAGATTATTTATTACGCTGAATTTGATGACTTCATTTCTTAATTGAAATATACGTACTTCCTTACGCCTGTTACTCCTCGTGGAGAAGCATAGGCCGCTCACCAACACTCTCCACCCAACCCTATCCTGTGCAATACTTTCCAGCTCTTTCCAGTTGTTATTTATCCGTTTCATACCTGCTTCTATTTCCCGACGTAATGTGTTCTTTGGCCTTCCTCTTTTCCGCTTCCCTTCAGGATTTCAAGTTAGGGCTTACCTTGTGATGCAGTTTGGTGATTCTCGTAATGTATGTCCTATCCATTTCCATCGTCTTTTTTTAATTTCCTCTTCAGCTGGAAGCTGAGTCTTACATAATCATCCTTATGAAAAACTATTTAGAAGATAAATAAAATAAACATTAATACAAATGATTTATATTTCTACATTTCATTAGATCATTATCATAAGTGTTAAATTACTCAATAATGAATGAACTTCAGTAATATCTAAAACAAAGTCTGTTATTCATTTATTCATTGGTCATTGGTTGTTGCACTTCGAATCAGTGGTATTTTAGAAACATGAAAAAGATTTTTTAAAGTATAATTCTTTAGGAAGTTGGTCATCATTGACTAGCCCAAAATATCTGTTCAGTGTTTCAGTTCATCGTATGAACTTTCATAAAGTAAATTGAATTCTAAATGTAATCTGTGCTTCTTTAATGATGAATACAATTATATGAATGAATTGTCAAGTGTTATTTTTTTCTGTAGTATAAACAAAAACCGAATTCATAATAAACAGGTTAACCAAAATGAGTGACATCGATTTCTAGGAAATTTCAGTTATTCACTTTCAAAACTGAGATACTTAATATTTATTTGATTTTGAATTAAAATGTAATTGAAAAAAGCTGATTGTTCACATTACAATTAAATTGCAAGCTTCCAAATGTCCTGGTACGTCAGAGTGGGGAGAGTCAGCGCTCCCTCTCGAAATGCTCTAACATGAACACGTGCATACAACCACTGCCTGGGAAGTCCTATACACTGCCTTCTCACGGCGTTACTGTTGTTTACGAAATCGAGAGAACGAAAAGCGAATGTCCGGCGCTTTAACCGGGTCGGTGAATGTAGAGGGTCCGACTAGGAGAGTTGTAAGATCCCGATTCCAAACCAATGGTGCACATGGGCTCCAGGATCCTGAAGGAACAAATGGCGTATTAACTAATTGTTGGTCACCGATTATCATGGGACTGCATCTCCTGACGTTTCTCCACTGCCTTGTGGATCAAACCTTTAAGTCATAGGCTCCGAGTGTGACCCCCTAAGAAAACCACCTGCTTATGTCCGGGAGTTCGGGCAGTATCACAGCCCTCACACAATCCGAATGATTTATGTATTTATCTATTTGGTGCCTCCTTGTACTAATATTTATGTGTTAAAATAAATAAAAAATACAATTGCATTGACGATCAATGTGTTTTTTCATAGAATTTATTAAAGTTTTATTTAATTGTTCCTTATATCTTCAAATAATTTTGGATAATAAATCGTTTCTGAAGGAATAATAATTAACTTTAACAAGTTTAAATAGAATATCATTGAAAAAAAAAATTCATAGGCTTTTAAGGTCATTAGAATAAACGTTTTGCTAAACAATAGTAAACTTTAATTAAGCAACTTTTAAAAACTCCTCTCATATTTCAAAGATGCATAATCTAATAAATACTATAACTGGTAATAAAATGTCAATATTAAATTGATCATCTTTCATCATCCAAATTCATAATATCTCATATTATAGAAAGAAAAAATACTGGTTTCTAATCAAAAGTTATTATCATTCTGTCAGACACTTCAATAATTTCAATGGTTATGGAATATTATCAGAATGGGTTTTGTGGAGAGTTTTAGAAATTTCACAGATTGAAATCATGTGTCAGTTGAAGTTAGACCACCATTGAAAATTTGAAAGCACTGGACGGCCGTTTTGTCCTGGTATGGGACCGTGGTGCGGGATCGTAGCTGCGCACTGCTGAGGAGTCCCATACCAGGACGAAATGGCCGTCCAGTGCTTCCAGGTTTTCAATGGTGGTCTAGCTTCAACTGACTCATGATTTCAACTTGTGAAATGTATTGTAAGCATTGAAGCATTAGTCGTCAATCCATCTAGTTGAGTAGATCCGCTTTTGTATCAAAGGCATCTCCTGTTCGTTCTTAGGGAGCGATCAACACAATACATTATAGAGTCATGGGTGAAGAAATCTTAAATAAGGTGAAGCAGCTATATAGAAATATCTGCCTTTAATACTTTTCAGAGGTACACATTTCCGATTTCAACGAATTTCATCAGTCATAAATGTTTCATTTTTTTGACAATAAAAACCAATCACCCTACATGGGGTTAGACCTGAGGTATTACAGTTTCGCGCCATGTGAATTTGTCTCTGTACAATGTAAGTGAACCTGTGGTTCGTAAATGGGTCATATTGTCAGCAAACATCCCTGTGACTGTTGTCAGTTAATCAGAACTCTTATACTTCTACGTATCGTTAGTCACTTCGATCTCTACCTCATCTAGCTTACTTAAGTAAGCCAATGTGTATACCCTAAAGTCAAATAGATGAAACTTCACCTGTTTAGCCAACTGAGGAAAATTAGACTTTTTTTATTATTCCATCGAGATATTCAAATGCATTTGTATTTAAACATAAGATATTCTTTTAAATCCATTCATTACATGCCTTTTTTTGTATTCCTTATTATATAAATAACTTGGGTGATTAAATTCTCTTCATTCATTCAATATAGAACCATAAAAGTACATTCATATTAGAAATTATTTAATATTGTTATCATCATCTCAGAATGTAATTACCCCCCAATTGTTATATTAGTTTATAGATTGAAAATTAACAACCTTTTTTAAAAAAAATTTAATAATTACATTGAAGGTTTGCTAATTGTTAAGCATTTCTTAAACGTTGCATATTTATCTTCTTGGTCAAATGAATATTTAATCATTACTTTATATTAATGTTGCATCCTAAATCTATTTACTCATGTGTTCATATATTCTGTATTGTTTACCGTTATATTATTTATGGTATCCTTAATAGTTCATTATCGTTTGACTCTTTATGATACTTAGTTTTAAGCTACTGACAATATAATTTAGTAAAGTAACATTTTCATTGAATTCAAGTTGCTGACATTATTTATATGATGTAGTGAAAGATGAAATTCATCTGAGAAGTGGGATACAGAAAAGAATTTGACAACTTAATCATACGTCTATTCATAAAGACGTTTCATTGGAAAACAAAAATGAAATATTATTCTACAAAGCATATTGAATAGTGAGATGGTGGAGGACAGAGGCAAAAAAGGATCACCCTACCATACATAAAAGGCATATCAGAAACGACGACGAGACTGCTGAAAACCTTAAGAATAGGTTTTGCGCACAGACCAACAAAATCCCTACAACGAATCCAATGGCAAAAGAAGACAAACCGAACATCATCTACAACATAAACTGAGAAAAACACTAAATCGGACAAAACGGCCACTCACTTCATCTTCGCCTGCGTGAACACCAATTGGCAGTCAAATGCCATGACATGTCCTCACTTACATCAATGCACGTGGACAACTGCGGACATACATTCAACTGGAAAAATGTGGAGATTTTTGGTAGAGGCAATTCGAAAATCATCAGAGAATTTTTAGAAGCTTGGCACTCAGGTCAATTAGGAATCAACAAGCACATTGAAATCGATCAAATTTGTCAACCAATCAGGAAAATTGTACACAAACACAGGAACAAAGATCAGACCAATGGGAGATACAACCGAGAAAATGAAGTAAACAATAACAGGTTTAAGGTCAACACGGTCCAATCAAAGTCGAGGTGTACAGGACAAGCTGTGAACCACATGTAGAGAAATTCGAAAACGTCACTTCTACCTGAATTTTGTGTTGATGATGTCGTTCAGAAAAACGATGAAAGCTCCACGACTAAACCATCTAGATTAGAAAACAAAACTCCATCAAAAATATTGAATAGTGATTGCACCAAATCACCAACTGAATGGATTTGAAAATATAGATTCCAACTCTGCCTTCAAGATATTGTGGACGCCACAAGTTCTGAAGATCATCATTTCAATCAATTATAACATTTTGGATATTAATTGACATCGGGTTACGAAATACAATAAAATAACTATCCGGTGTTCTTTGATGACCGGTAGCTCGCTAAACAATGTTAGCATTTGATTATAACTTAATTTAAACAACAGATACTGTGCATTGCAAGAAAAATTTATTTCCGTATTAAAAATTTTGACAGACTCAGTTACAGTTTCCTACTTTTATAGAGCAAATTAAACATTACCGGAGTCATAGAATATACGTCTATATATCATTTTATTATTTATGTATAAAGTGTCAAATAAACATTCTAAGACTTTTGAATAGACTAGTCATCAGAAAATCATGGGCTTTTATAAGTGTTCAAATGTAATTTGTTCTCATAGGTATTCGAACATTTAAAAAATGACTCTTCTCATTTATATCTCAACAGTTATGAGCTCATATTTCTATCTATTTTCTAATCATTTCTATATATATATATATATATATATATATATATATATATATTCACCTAAGGTTAAAAGGGATAAAAAGTAAATCTTTCAAATTTTAAAACAATCATTTCCTGAGTTCGTTTATTTGATTATTATTCTGAACATATACGTCAGATCGCTATTGAAATAGATTTTATATAGAAATACTTGGGACCGAATTGTGAAATGGAAAGTGGGATCGGTATTCTCAGTGTACATGTGTTGTAGTGGTTGAGAGCTTCTACGGCTAAATATCTACACAATTTTTCATGGTTTATGTTATTTATTATGGTGATATTTGTATGGAGTATACCTGACTATCTTCTGATACAGCAAACTGAAAAACAACTGACAGAATAAACAAATTTATAAATGGTTACCTGTCAGTTTATTAGTGGTAAACAGTCCTAATCCTAAGAGAAAGATGAGTAAATAAGTAAAGTTTCATCACCAATGAGCAATATGTGGTGATGGGTTAGTTGCTTAAAAATTCAATTTGGATTGTAAGTTTAGAACCTGTTTGGCCTATGTTAAATTGAACCATATAATAACATCACAAATTCTCATGTAAAATGATCTGACTCAAACTCTTATTTAAATAGGAGATGTATATTTTGTCACTTCACATAACTAGACCACTTAGCTAATAAAAATGTCATAAAAAATGAATGATAAATGTTATCATTATTTTATATATTCGAGTTAACTGTAAGCTGATGCTATTAGCAAATTGAACCACATAAATTGCATACCTTGTTTTGTGGTAAATTTCATTAGAATACTTGTCAATAATATGACTTTTGTAGTTGGTCAATTCTTGAACATGTTTTATACGAGAATAATTTTCACGATGGAATCATTGAAAAATTAAAGCATGCAAACTTTTGTTTGATCATTGTTTGGGACTTATCGACAGTACACATCAAAAACCTATATTCGATTAGTCTAAATATGTGCTCAGTTATATTTAAGTGTTTTTTTGGAAGGGATCAAAGTTTCTGAATATTATTTATAATTAGTTAAAAGCTCTAACTTACCAATTGCTGAAATGTATTTACTATAGATTGTGCCTTTGACTCTTAAACTTTTAGTTTTTATTTTGGTTATTACTCTAGTTTCATATGAAAATACTTTCGTAGTTTGACTCGTTTTTGTCAAATATCATAAATCCTATAGTACAATGACTAATTTTTGGTAATCATCTACTGGAATGTATTCGAATGAATTGATTGATATGTACATAGCTACATACTCCAATCATATAGCATGGTATTTATTTTTAAAGGGATTTGTAAACTATAAAATTAGAAAAGATTATCAAGTCACATTTCATATTGATATTTAAGTGAAATCACTAACAGGTGGACAATGATTACGAAGTACGATTTATTTACTGTATTCAGTTATTTTCTCCTCAACTATATAAAATTCAATGAGTTTACTTCATGAGTTGTTCATCACATAATTGTAACCTTTTGTTAGTGGGACATAGATTTGATTAAACCATGCTCAATGCACAATTGCTTTACTGCACGCCGATTGGCTGATTTCTATCCAATCAGCGCTAGTCGATGCTTGGAGAACACTCTAGAATATTCTCGTGTAAAAACTACAAATATACTAACGTTTTTCTTATTGTACTTCTTACTTCCATCTAACCTTGTTGCTTGGAATATAATCTTTTTCGTGTTCAATCGTGTTCTGATTTAGTGACTTGTCGAGTGAATTGGTGTTCAAGAATACTAAGTAATATGAATAGCTGGGTTGTAATAAGAGAGAATTATAACAGCTTTCGAATAATTCACTATTCTCTGGAAGACAAGATAATTATTTTATTTCCAATAGTTTGTATCTATTGATGTACGTAAAATTTTTTATTCGAACTCATAATCTCAATCAAAAATTTAATAATCTTCACAACCCCTATACTGATAATTAACATGTGCTCACTAATGACTAGCTTCGTGAGGGAATTCTCGGAGATCTAGTGAGAAGCCGTGACCAGTGGAGCTAACATGTGACGGGTAGAGACAAGTATCTACCTCATTACAATGGAAGTTGGTCGCGCAATTTAAACACTAACACCATCGGATGGCGGCTCGGTGGTCCAGTAGGTTAAGCGTCCGCTCACAAGACTGAGGGCCCTCGGTTCGAATCCAGCGAGCGGGATCGTGGGTGGGCACCTCACTTCTGAGGATTCCCACAATAGGATGAGACGGCCTTTCAGTGCTTCCAGGTTTCCAACAGTGGCCTAACATCAATCCGTTCATGATCCCAATCAAAGGAAAAGATAGAATATAATGAATTCATTATAATTTGCTTTATAGTGACTTTTAACTAATATCATGTGATAATAATAATAATAATAAACAAATACTCTTTTTATTTTAGATTATTCGACTGAAGAATTAACCATACAAAATCGACGATTAAATGAATCAAATGAACGATTAGAAAATCGTCTACAATTAATAATACAAACAATAAATGAATTAGATAACCTGTATAATTCTATCAAAAATGATGGCTTCATTAAACGTTATACCACTTTAAAAGATGCCGTTAAACGGATTGTTACAAATAATGATTTATATGATAATCCTTAAGTATAAAAATATAACAATGAAGTATTTAGTTTTGCTTTTTTTTCACTCACTTGGCTCAAAGCTAATCGTCGTTGTTGGTGTTCTTCTTCTTCTTCTTCTTCTTCTTCTTCTTCTTCTTCTTCAAAATACTACTTAAATACTAAATCCAATTCTGTACACATTTTTCTAAACAAACGAATAAATGGGAACATGTTGATGATGTAATGTCGAATTTCTGCTTTATGTTAATATGTCATTGTAACCAATCAATAATTTTGATTATTTTTACTAGTATATCACTATGTAATTGTTTTTCTTTGGGTATTTTTTAAAATACTAAATTAATAATTTCAGTTATCCAATAAACCATGGATTGTATTACACTTTAGAAATGTGTATTCTTTGTATTCGTTTTAAAGTGAAACTTGATAAAGACAATATTTACTAAAGATCAAAAATAACAAACTTCTGGAAAAAAATATTGAAAAAAATAGTTGTTTATTTGTTTTTTCATCTGAAAATTAGATTTTCATTTTACTTTGTATGTCAATGTCTTTAAACTACTTATTTATTTATTTTTCAGAGAGCTATAATCAATTCACTAATTAATCTAAAGATTTGATATATTTGATAGTATGGTTGTTGTGTAGTAAACATCTATCTGAAGCGACATATCAATGTAAGTTTTTGGCTGTTACAGCAACGAAAGATTATATATATATATATATATATATATATATATATATATATATATATATATATATATATATATATATATATATATAGATTATATTAGATTAGATAAGATAAGATTAGATTAGATTATACATACTGATACTTTCCATTTCAAATTATTAATTTGTATATAATTTCATCAATGACTATATTGTGAAGTGACTGTGATATGAGCTACTTATATCCACATAAGTAGTATATAACAATGGTTAGACATAAAATGTATTTCAGTGGAAGATCGAAAGGAAAAAACGGGATTGAAGAGCAATCGGTATGAAAATGCATAAAAAAATGGAATCTAAGACAATTAATTGGTATTTGAGGAAGGAACAGTCAAGTTTGAGACGATGGATTTATATTTTACTAAATAACTATTTACTGTATGGTTCTCAGATTTCAGTGAGATGTTCTGTAATTCGTGCTCAAATACATTCGGTTGTCTCCATTCTTATTCTGGTTCACTACAGTGACTACAAATGAGAGCATGGACCAATGGATTGCGTCTGTGGTGTTACCTGAAAGTGTCATATTATTAAATGTGACAGTTGCTGAACTAACGGTGTGTAATCCCCACACGTCTCAAATCAAACAGAAATAGTTGAGTAATTCCCCCTGTTTTACATAATTTTTTAGCAGATGTAAACAACGATAAGTAACTATCCTTTTACGCAAAACTCAACTTATTTATCTATCCATCTTTTGACTTATAATTGAACAGAACAAATATACTAAGATTAACATTGGCTTGTTTTATTCATAATTGTTATCTGATTCATTTTATACCCCAGATTGTTTTGTTTTATGAGTCATAATTAACAAAAATAAATGAAGTACATCATAGTTACAAAATATACCATTCATTTACTTTTTGTTTATTCACATAACGAATAAGTCATAAATTAAGCTACTTAAATTTTCTCAGTGTAAGATTTTTTATAACAGTACATTCATTTACATAAGACTGTATTTAACAAGATCACATGCTCAGTCAAGACATCTAATCATTATAATATCCATGTACAATTTCGTGAAAATATTTCAATAGTAAAACGTTTTTAGTTTAGGTAGTTGTTTTATAACAATCTGACTGTGTTGTCATTGGTAACTGACAAAACAATATTCTTTTCAAGATTGAGATGAATATAGATGTAAACTGACAGACCGCTAAACAGTAACACATCACATATAATCTGGTATTATGCACTAATCATATTTGTAGCATATTCACTCGGTTCACTGATATGATGTTGCAATGAACATTGTTTGATATCAGGTTGCTAAGGCAGACTGATATGTTGTCCTGGTTTTAGATTACATACAGGTAAGGTCTCAGAAGTAGTACGTATTTACGACCTTTTGTAAACTGCATCACTCATTGTCGTCCAAGACTTAGCCACCGTGAACTAGGAATGCTGAGGTCTATTCAAGTTTAGAGCGTTTGGGCGTTGGGAGACAAAACACCAGACAGTTTATTTTACAGTTTTCTTATTATTGCTACATTTTAATTAAATGACATCAGAGTTACAGTAAATCCCGCTAAAGAATACTATGGGGCTTAAATTTGTTTATATATTTGAAAAGATTATGTTTATATTCACTTGATATTGATTAAACTGACCTATTACCGATAAGACAGGTAATCATCCTAACATTTACTCTTAAATAGAGAGGGTAATTTCTGTAACTTATCATAATGTAACGTTGTCGTTTAAATCAACCAAATGTTGTTGTCAGTAACATTGATAACATGCACTTCTAACACACTAAATTAACAAACGCACAGCCAAAACAGGGATCAAAAGGTGAGGGTAATTATGGGAACTCTAATAACGAGCTATTTAGTGCTTCGTAGTTTCAGAACAATTATCATTTCGTTGTGAAAAATACACTCATATCGAATACTCTTTTCTGATTATGACTCAGTATATAATAGTTTCTAGTTTCGAGAGTCATTAATAAAAACTAGTTTTAATTTTGTTTGTTAAAAAAATACTTTGAGTAAATCATGTTATCAATGATACAATCCACAATAGGTACTCATGTGAAGCACAAGTATTTAAACATATATGTCAGTAGAACAGTATTTGATTTATCCAATATCATGTATACGATGATACAACAACACAAAATGTTCAGTATTGTGACTTGGGAGTAATAAAAAGTAGTGATAAGGTATCAATTTCCTTTGTCCAAAAACACTTTCGACTAGCTCTGTTACAATAATGTACAAACTCCGATCTATAAATTTTTAATTAAATACTTCACACTTATTGAAACGATTAAAAGGAAATATAAATATCGATTGCCGTGGTATTTTCTCTTCAAGGCTTACAACATTGAAGATCATGAGAAGTTGCATAGATTTTGAAGCAGCACGTAAGTACTTTGTGTTTTACTGATACTAATTGATAGTCAGAATAAACATAAAACAGGGAAATACTTTAAAATATTTGGAACAGTTTTAAAACAGATACCTAGAGGTTTGAGCAAGTCGTAGACTCATATATATGTATATGTTCCTAAAATCATTGGTTAAAACTATTTAGTTGATTTATATGCAAAGATGGATAGTGGCTAGCAGTGCAATCCAGGACTTAGTAGTGAAGTGGATAACGCGATGGCGTTTAAAGCGAACGATACTGAATTCATGTCCCAGAGTGAATATCAACCCTGAGATGTAGGCACATCCAGCTGACGAGTCGCAAATAGGACCAAACGCGCGTCCTGTATTCCACTGCTATCCACTACCCATCTTTGCATATAATGTTTGTGAATTAAGGCAATATCGAAGCAATGCGCACATTATGCACATATGTCAATAAGAGACTAATCAATTGCAGTCCTAAACATCAATGGGAAGATTCAAGAAAACAATACCAAATGAATATAGTTGACTGATCAAAGATTCTATACGTAATTTATTGAAAATATTTTATGGACTTATTAATGAACCAGAGAAATAAATAAAAATCTATATTCGCATAAATTCACTTTTTGAATCGAATTTAGGAAAGCTTGTAGAATTTTAAAAACTGCGCAAAATTTTTTTATACATAATTGAAATTGCTGAAAACTTCCCATTATATTAAAAACACAATTGTATGAACGAAGAATATTCTTTTCAATGAATTTCTCATCAAGTTCTACAATTATAAATCCAGATTAATAATCCATAAAATTGGCCAGATTTAAGGCAGTGAGTAGATCATTTGGAAATTCTAATATGTGAATCAAGAATTGTTTGCTATATAAAATAAAATCGTTAATGTTGGGGCTGACTACAACTAGTATTTTCCACACGACCAATAATCACTCCGAGGTTGAAAGATAAATTGCCAAGACTAGCCACCTTCTTCCAAATTTTCATATATATACGATTGTACAGCTTGATAATAAATTCGTTGAAAAGAGATCCCTTCGCTGAAATTCGTGTTTTAATTTTAATGAAATTGAATAAGTCACTACACATAATAGGTAAAAGTACAAGTTGATAGTAGGAAGACAGGTGAACTGATCATAGTGAGAATAATAAAATACAATAACAAAACTCTTATCAATAGTTAATTGTTGGAAATAGAAGGTCAAATAAACATGGGTAAATAGACTAGGAATAGTAATCACAAAACATTAGAATCATTACGTAATAAGATGTGTGTAAATAATTAGATAGTGAAGAATACAAAGAGGCTGGAAATTACAAACAAATAATGGATGTGGAAATAAGGTTAATGATAACACAGATAAAATAAAATAAATAATGATAATAATAAAATAAATAAATAAATAAAAAAGGATTGTTAGTTAAGTTATAACTGGCCATGGAAGGGATAGGGGGGTCACGTATTTCTTCTGTACACATAAATTGGGGTTATATGTACGAATTCCAATGGCTTCAGCTATATATAGGAGACGGGAACGAACTCCGTCGGGAAATGATGGAGGTATACGATAGATAACTCGAAAAGATTTCGATTTATCTACTGCATGACCGCTATCAATAAGATGTGCCAATATAGAACTGCGATCTTTAAGGAAATTGGTCAATTGTCCTCCTACTTTTTTATTGATGTCACAATTACTAGTAATTTATTTTATATAACAAACAATTCCTGATTCACATATTACAATTTCCAAATGATCTACTCACTGCCTTAAATCTGGCCAATTTTATGGATTATTAATCTGGATTTATAATTGTAAAACTTGATGAGAAATTCATTGAAAAGAATATTCTTCGTTCATAATTGAAATTCATTATCTTTTCATATAACTTGTACAACGATTATTAATGAATAAAAGATCATCAATAATATCAAGATAATATGAGTTTTTTAAAGTTTTTGTTTTCAAAGTTATAAACTGAACATTTGTAATTAGTGGAAACTTAGAAATCATTTATGTAGTAACAGTCTGCCTGTCAACATAATAAACATGATAGATTTAGATAAAAGAGAAAGAGAAAAAAAAGAAGAATATAGAATCAATAAAAGTCATTTTAGTAATTATAATAGAATCATATTGTTTATACAAGTTACATGCTTTTTAAAGGAAGGAAGTCATTTCTGCTTCATTTCTTTTCAGAATATAGAGAATTTTTATATAATTCAAGTTGAATAAAGAAAAACACAGTATGATAATAATATTTTTAATGTAAACAGTATAAAATATA